GTCTGACTGTGTGTACTTTCTTAGTTCACCCTGTTATAATGGAACAGGCTTAGCCAATGTTCTCCTCTTATAGATGAGGGCGAATTACAATAGAACACGCCCGTTTTAAGCAAGTGCCTGTCGATGCTCCTGTTAGCCCCGGTCTGCGGATTAGTGTTGATGTATTCCAAGGGTGCACCAATCTGGCCCAAGGATAGAAGTATTCTTCTCTCTTCCATGGGGAGTAAAAATTTGGCTTATTTCCCTTTTAAACCCCACCCAGTCCTTTCCTCCCAACCGGGCAGGGTTTATTTAGTGCTTTCGGCACAATCTCCCCCCCCCCCCCCCCCCCGGTCGTATGGAGGACTTATATTGGCCACTCAGCATTGGCTAGCCCCCTATTAATATCGCTTCATATAGGCATGGACATACATGGCATTCCATCCACTTTTGCTCGCCCATCGCCATTGTGGTCGGCTGCTCTCAAACCGAGGAGGATCTTAAGATCGCTTTCAAAACAACGAAGGGGTCGAACACATATCAACTCGCGTGTGCAGCCCCAGATGAACAGTTTTAAACTATTCTGGACACTTTGAACGTGGCCTGTACGAATGTTCCACAAGCTTTATTCACGCAGGTTAACCGCAAACACTTGGCGTTTCTAGGGCTACCCGCAGACGACTGCGCTTGGCTGGAGGAGAATATTCAAGCCTGGTTTACCTCATTGGCCGTGAACTTATCTCGAATCATATCATCATTCTTTTGATAACGAGGTAATTTACAACTGTTGTGCAAAAAGCTAAGGGTTTACAGCTTAGTTTAAACCTGCGATTTATTAAACCAAAGAATCCCTCACAAATCCGTCTATAATGACAAACGCCTCGTAAGATAGGCTATCAATAAGGCTGGCTTGGCTAACGGGATCAACGGTTGGATGTGGCGGTTGATTTACAAAAGCGAAGAAAATCCTCACTTTTTGTGGCTGCTCCGGTTCTCCATTTTATTTATATCCTGCTTTTAACAGGTTTCGTGCAGCGCGCATTGTTGGGTGTGGCAGAGTTTTCAAAAGCTTCAAATAATACCTTCGAATGACCTCCACGGGCCACGCTCTAGAGATTCACTAAAACTTAGCCTCTACGACTAACTTGCTCTAACTTCCAAGCTAGTAAAAGTTTAATTCCACAATACTCGTTATATAGACACGCACCACTTATACTAGTCCCTAATGTAGTTAGTATATTATTAGATGGGGTTTAGTTAAGTCGTATCTCTCAACAATTCTCAGGGCCTCAGCTATGTATCTATGAAATTCCCCCGGGTATACGGAGTAGAGTATATGTATATAGATAGATATAGATATCCCCCCAGGTATAGAAACCACCAGGTATGGGACTTCCCTCTCAATGTCTCAATATGCGTCTCTATTTCATACAACCAAGATCTTGATTACTAATACAATTAGTTATCATCACCTGCGTGCTCATTGTAGCGCTAGTATAAAATACCTATTTGACGTACAAGCCAAGCCACCGCTTTGACTTGGGCCATTTCAGACCAACGCTTCAAAATACCTCCGCTTCTGAGTTTCTGTCTTAAGATGCAGGTCATGCCGCTAGGGCCAAAAGGCGCGATTGAAAGTTGATGGGTGCAGGTTGCATTCTCGTTACTTTAGGTTACGCTCCAGGTTGGTGGGTTGTGACTCTTTCCGCACCTATGTCCAATTGGCGGTGGGCATGCTTCGACAGCTCGCCGAGCATGTTGGCAAGAATACATTAAAATTGGAGTCCTTGTGCTGGGCTGATCGTTGCCTTTGTGTATCTCATGACGTCTCTCAAACTGCCAGTCCCCGTTAACCAATAATCATCTCATCATCTCTCGCGATGTTGGAAAAATGCCGTCCATGGGTGTTGTTGTATCACTCAAAGAATCCCTACTACCAATATCAGCAGATTCCCAACGCTCTCTCATTTTCGCTTTTTCAACCATCTATCAAGTCCCAGTTTTTCCTTGTCAGATATCAGATGCAGAGCTATGTTAACTAGCCTCTCCCTCAGCGGGGCATTTCGACCCTACAATTTTTGCTCCGGTTGAACGGGAAACGATAGTCGAATCCCGAGGTTGAGATAACCCCTCTTTTCTCTCCATTCATGGATGCGAAGACCTTTCCCACGTTCGCGTATTACCTTAAGTATTCGTCAGAGTCTGGGTCGGGCCTAGGTTCAGAGATGTTTTGTTTCCTGCCTTGAGTTTTTACAATACAAGCCTGTGGCGGTTGACCCGTCATCGAAGTAGAAAGGGCCAGGGATTTTATGTAGGATTCATTCTCTTGGCCCTTTCTTTCCTTAACCCAAACCCCCACAAGCATTCCCTGGAAGATAAATATCCCGCCGGATGGGATGTTGTGTCATTATTCCCATTATTCGTCAATCAGAATGCTCTGACTTGAGACCTTTCCCCCTCCAAGGCAACAAAGACAGAAATGTCACTCACTTTCGTTGGGACCCTTGTGATTCTTGTGATCTCTTTTCGCACATAGGCTATAGCCCAGTTCTCCGCGCATTTGATGTTAGAGGGATATAGAGACCGGATAGGATAGAATGCTTGTTTGGGCGGCGGGTGGCGCGCGGAGTACCTGGAATGTAACTCTCTTATGATAGCAATTAAGGATGCCCCTCGTTGCTAATAATAAACTAGAGCAAATACATGGACAATGCATATAGCATGCGCCGGGCAGAGACGGACGAATATTTGTCATATTTACATTTGCCGCCAAAGAACGTTCTCGTTGCTTCTGTGAAGTCGGCGAGTGTTCAGCACATATGGCGAGAGTTTAGTGACTCTAATAATGTATGTTTCGCCGTCGATGGTCTCAAGGAATGTGGGGTAGGGTATCTTTCGGCTGGAGGGCCCTCGGAGAATTTATATCGAGAGATGAGCATGATAAACTGGGTCTTGTCCCTGTCTGTTGGGTAGTTAAACTCAAGGACCCCTCCCAGCCGATAGCCCGTCTAACTCCACCGATCTTGTAAAGTGAATATTTCCGGTTGGGTTTTGGTAGGAGAGCTATAGATAGTCTAGTTCATGCTAAATGCCAATATCAACGTCACCATTTCTCAAAAACAAGCAACATCACTCATTAACCGTATTTTGAAATTTACCCTAGATGCAGACGCAGCCCTCGATTCCTGACCTCGTCTAAGATGTCCTCTGTGATATAATTAGTATGAAGGGATATGTATATCGTATAGGCAAAAAGCTCATTCATATCCGGCGAATCCAGTAGTAACCATCTCTGCTTAATCGATTATTTATCAATCAGTCCCTAGTGGTGTAGTGGCTAACATCGCTGTCTTTCACACAGCAGCCCAGGGTTCGATTCCCTGCTAGGGAGATGAAATCGTGTTTCTTTTTAATGTTATCTCTATTTTCTTTTTTCAATATTCTCCTTTTTTTTATTTATTTGCCCAAAGGTTTCCCGTGCCCTCGTCGTTATGTCCCTCAACTAAAATTGGGCTCTAATGGGATGAAGGAATCGGCATTCGGATTATCTATATTCCAGCCCTGGATCCTGACTTCGGCGGAAGTGTCAAAAAAAAAAAAAGTATGAAGCAAGTACGGAGATTTTCAGAAATTCTTGTTTAATTCCGGACCATCTTGAATGAGGGCCTCCCGAGCTTCGGGTCTTCTGCACACTGGTCGACTTGCATTCTCAAGCCCCCAACAACACTTCCGCAGCCTGACCCGCTTCTCTCGTTGCCCAACGCGCATTGCCTTGTCTGCCAACCCCGCCATCCCTCCATCCCCCCACACTCACCAACAGTGCCTCTATCACGGTAATAACAATAATTCCACAGACGCAATGGGCAAGGAAAAAGTATCTTTCAACCTGAAAACCCCCAAGGGCACTAAGGACTGGTTTGGCTCCGACGGCCTCCTCCGCGATCGGATCTTCAGCACCATCACCGAAGTTTTCAAGCGCCACGGCGCAACCTCCCTTGATACCCCCGTCTTCGAGCTGCGCGATATCCTCGCGGGCAAATATGGCGAAGACTCAAAACTCATATACGACCTGCAAGACCAGGGTGGAGAGCTGTGCTCACTCCGCTACGATCTGACAGTCCCCTTCGCCAGATGGCTCGCTATGAACCCCAATGTGCGCAACATAAAACGCTACCATATCGCCAAGGTATACCGACGTGACCAGCCGGCTATGTCCAAGGGCCGCATGCGCGAGTTTTATCAGTGTGATATCGACTTTGCAGGTGCCAATTATGATCCCATGGTGCCCGACGCGGAGATCCTGAGGATTGCGACTGAGGTGTTTGAGGAGTTGGGATGGAAGGGGAGGTACACTATCAAGATTAACCATCGCAAGATTCTGGATGGGCTCTTCGAGGTCTGCGGTGTGCCGAAGGAGAAGATACGGACTATCTCCAGCGCCGTTGATAAGCTTGACAAGATGCCATGGGCGGACGTGCGGCGGGAAATGGTCGAGGAGAAGGGACTCGATAGCGCCGTTGCGGATAAGATAGAAACATATGTGGTCCAGAAAGGCGGGCGGGAGTTGGTAGAGTCACTACTGTCAGACGAAGCGCTCCTCGCAAACCTATCTGCCAAGACTGGGTTGGAGGAAATGGCCCTCCTGATGGACTATCTCGAAGCATTCGATATTCTGGACAAAATATCTTTCGACATGAGTCTAGCCCGTGGCCTGGATTACTATACCGGTGTTATCTACGAAGTCGTCACGGAAGGATCAGCACCCCCTGCCGCCCCCTCAGCAGGCGAGGAAGCTCAAAATATACAGAAGAAGAGTAAAGGCAAAGCCAAGAATGATGATGACGATGACCGATCGAATGACCCCTCGATAGGAGTTGGGAGCATTGCTGCTGGTGGCCGATATGACGAGCTTGTTGGTATGTTCTCAAGCAGGGCACAGATTCCCTGCGTAGGCATTTCGTTTGGAGTCGACAGAATTTTTTCAATCACCAAGGCGCGAATGGGAGAGAATAACCGCCCCAACAAGCTCTGCGACGTTGACGTTTACGTTATGGCGTTTGGCGGGAAGGGCTTCACCGGCCTACTCAAGGAGAGAATGGAAGTCGCCAGGAGTCTATGGGATGCTGGCCTTAAGGTAAGGGAAAACAACGGCGCTCGTTAAACTTTTGCATTTGCATATATATGTGCATGTATTACGCTCCCGCTAACACATAACCCCCCGAATCCAGGTCGAATTCTCCTACAAGCGCAAGCCAAAACCCATCCAACAATTCGACGCTGCCGAAGCCAACGCGGTGCCCTTCGCTGTCATTCTTGGCGAGGACGAGCTAGCCGCTGGCCAGGTACGTGTCAAGGAGATGGGACTGGACAAGGGACACCCGGAAAAGGATGGCGTATTGGTTAATCTATCGACGTTAGCGGAGGAAGTAAAGGAGCGATTGGAGCGGAAGAAGACTGCTGCTGCAGCCGCCGCTGCAGCCTCGGCAATTGATGCTGATGAGGCGGGGATTGTGAAGAAGATAGAAGATTTAGATGTTAAGGGGCAATAGAGGGGGTTTGTGCTTCTGCCTGTCCGTAGATGTGGAATTTGGGAGGGAAGACAGGGAGAAAGCAGATCGCTCTACGGTGTCACCCCCACCCCCTGCACCGTTATTATTTTGCGAGATAAATGCATTTTTGCCTTTCGTTCCCGCTGTGTTTTACTATTTCGGATACGTCAAGGTATAGATATGGCCGTAGGCAGTTTTGTCGCCTCTAAGCAGAACTTTAGAATCGCAGATCGATTTCCACAAAGAGATTGTAATGTGCCGCATAATAAATACACATACCATACAAAGGAGATAAATCGTTCTAACAGACCGAGAAAACCATCTTGCCGTTTAGGTTTCAAAACCAAAAATAAAATACAATATGGTATACATATCATTAGGGCTCATTACCCAGCGAGAGAGCAGAGAAATAACCCGCAAGAGCATCTACGCTCCAGCAGCAATCTTCATAATAAAGCCCTTTAGTGAGGGCAAGCGGTCAACCATGTTCAGCCCGAAGCTCCTACCCCATGCAACCGGCCCGTTACCAGCTACATTATACGCTTTATGTAGCAGATCACCCGCCCCACCTATCTTAGCATTGACAAGGTATCGCTCGGCAGCGTACCGTTCCAAACTAAGAAGGTCGCCAATGTCCATACCGTGACGGACCGAGTATTCAATTGCGCGGAAGAGAGAGGCTACATCACCTATGCCGAGATTTAGACCCTGCCCGCCTAGTGGATGAATTACGTGCGCGGCGTCCCCGACTAGGGCGATGCGGGGAGAGATATAGGTTGACGCGTGACGGTGACGGAGGGGGAAAGAGGCTACCGTTCCAGGTTGGACGGAGGTAACGGTTGGTGGGACATAGGATGGGGTTGGGGTGTGTTGAAGTCGCCAGGCCAGTTCATCGGCGTGTTCAGTTGATGGGGCTGCTGAAGCGGGGTCCGTGGAGTCCGTGGGCGACTCTGGTGATGATGAGGAGGGGAGAGTGAACATGTACTTTAAGTCTACCATGGACAATCTGAAAGCAGCGTTCACCATAGCTATAAACGCATCTGCAGGGAGAGATTTGAGATACGCTGCATTCCTTACGGTAGTGGACCAGACTAGGGTAGCGTGGTTGTTGGGGAGTGGGAGGAAAGCGACAGGGCCTCCCAGACCAGGGAGAAAGCGTTGATACGCAGCTCTAATAGGTGGGCCGGTGGTATGCCCCTGTGGGGAAATGTTCAAAGTGGCCACCACGCCGTGGCGGTCGTAGTCCCAGCCATCTGTCGATATGGCCGCGTATGATCGGACGGGGCTGTTTATGCCGTCTGCCCCTACAAGCAGACGAGTGGCAATGGTGGGTGGCGGGGGCAGGTTTGATGTCGGTGAGGTATGTTTAAGGGTCAAAACAGGCCAGGAGGAAAGGTCTGGGCCATCAGTGTAATCCTCCCCATTGTTGATTTCAGACACTGAGGTATTGGAGAAGATGGACACGTCATTCCCCGACGACTCTATACTTGCGATCATACCGCGGGTCAGGTTCAGGTTCTCCGTCATCGTCGCGATAGTTTGCGCGTGTGTTGACCGCGATTCGAGGGACCAGTCAAATGAGATGCTTGCGCCCGTCTCTCCATCCCAAACGTGCATCTCGTGGTATGGCTGCACTCGGGAAATATCCACATGGGCCCATACTCCAATGTCTTTGAGGAATGACACAGAGGAGGGCGTGAGGCTGCTTACGCGATTGGAGAATTGCGTTGCATCTAAATTCCAAGCTCTGGTTTTCGAGAGATCCTGGCTTTCAATCAAGGCAATTCTAAGTTTCGAGGTTACTGGAGAGGACCCTAAAGGACAAAGTCAATTAGTTTCGGGTCCCTGTGAACAAACAAGAAAGACACAAGACATATCCGTACGCAAAGCAGCCACGAGACCCAGGCCTGCGGGTCCTCCGCCGACGCAGACAATATCATAGATGTCTGGGGGTTGACGAGGTCTCGAAGAGGAAGCAAATGCCCGCCTCCCAGGTTGTAGGTGGTGTCTACATGACGGGCAGACGTATAACCGCAGCGCGGAGCGAGACAGTGGTCGCATCTTTAGCACCTCAGCGTCCTCGCCGCCAATTTGCAGGTGTTCAACGGTGATATCAGACCCATCGTCGACGGGGTCGGATATTGACGGGTGCAAACAGGGCAAACTGCGCTAGGAATTGCTTCCATACCGGAAAAACGTAGGCTTATTATACGACCGGGTTATGGTTGTTCCGCTGTGCCAGTCAGTGACAACTCACTGAACCATAAATCTTAATATAATGATGAACAAGCATCAAACGCTCGCTTGTCATTCGATGGGGCTGGCCAAGCCAATTCCACCCCTTTCACCCCCTCCACCCCTACCCCCTCTATCACCACCACCACCTCTACCGCAACGCAGTCCCCCCTACCCTCCCTTACCCCCCCTACCACCCCTTCCACCCCCTACCCCCTTTACCACCACCAACGCCTCTACCGCCCCGCAGCCCCCTCTACCACTTCCAC